ATTTTTATTTTAAGCATGTGATTATTCTTTTTGATTTTATGGCAGTTTTGAAATTGCCAAAATTGTATATATTTATGTTGTACAAAATTATATTTTGATAGATGTATGCTTTGTGGAATAATTTAATCAAGCTAATTAGCACATCTATCACCTCACATACTTACATTTTGGTAGTGAAAACAGTTTACTCCCTAAGCAATTTTCAAGTATACAGTACATTCTTATTAAATGTAATCACCATGGTGAAGCATAGATTTTCAGATCTTGTTTCTCCTAAGTGATACATGCATTCTTCCTTCCACCACCTGGTAACCTCCATTGTATTTTCTGCTTTGAGGGATTAGACTTCTTTAGATTCCATATAGATGTGAGATCACCTGGCATTTGTCTTGCTGTGCCTGGTTTATTTCATTTAGCATTATGTCCTCCATGTTAATTCACATTGTTGCAAATGTGACAGGATTTCCTTTTTTTTAGCATTTTTTAAAGAAGAAAATTCTACATATGAAAGAGGTTCCTATAGCAAATCAGCATGCCTTGAATCTGGTTACAAATTTTGGATCCTAGGCATTTACATCTCTTTTCATCTTTTTCCTATTTCTTATACTTTGCAGATCTGGGAATTTTATATTTTCCACAGCAGAGTCTAATTTTATACTTTTCTAGTATTTATTAACCATATTAGACTTATAATAAAAAGAAAGTCATCTTCCAAATCTGCAAATTCTGGTTGTTGATAGCTCTTATCTATTCACTGGACTTTGTTGTACATTTAGAGAAGATTCCAACCAAAGATCCTGGCCATCAGGTTGAACTTTATGTTTACAATTAAACTCTACTCATTAGATGCCTTTATGCCTTTAAAAAACCCCTGAAACCTCACTTTTAATTTTGTTTGATAATTCAATGTCTTCACACAAAATGATTTTTAAGTTCCTATTGGTGGAGTTTCATGACAGTTTTTCTGTTGCTGTGATATATAGAGCTGACGTGTTAACATTATTAAACATGCATGGACTCTTCTTCTTATTTCTGTATTGGATAAGACTAGGTAACAACTTTATCAGGAGATGAGGGCCTATTTCTACCTAGTTAGCACTCTACTTCTAGCTTCTGTTTTATTGATCAAATGTCCGAAATGCACAATTGTTCTTTTTTTTATTAGGAATATGATCATAAATATGAATTAGTTCCTGAACTCCTTTTTTACCTGATTATTATCTGTGACTGTCAGTGCTAATTAGTCCTTTCTGTTCCTGGTACAGAAATACTTTTGGTGCTACTGATTTACTTACAAGTCTCTGCTTATACAGACAGTAAGAAATACATGTCTACATTTTAGAAACACATGTATAATTAGAAAAAATACGCATATATTATCCATTTATTAAAAACTATGGAAATTAAGGATATTCTTTCCTATCTTTTGTATTATTAGTGCTTGTTTATATATTTTACATTAGTTTTTCTCTTCTAGTGTTATGAACTTATAACCTTTGACAGACACAAGTTGTTTTATTTTGTAATATTCGCTTTTTTTAATGCTCATACTGTCAACATTTAACCATGGATTTTCCATTTAGGTTGATTTTCTTAGCCAGCCTTTTGAAACAAACTGACTTTTTCTCTAGCAACAATGATATGTTCCAGTATGCCTTGTGTTTCCTTCTTCTCTCCGCCCCCATAACTCTTCTTTTCCTTCCTTTCTTCCTTATAATAGTTAAGGAATCCTGGTTCTTTCTTGTTAGGGGCTATCAGACAACAAGCGTCCAGATGCTAGGGTTGTTCAATAGCTGACTGAAGACAAAAGTAATGCTGCTGCTCTTTGTCTTTTTTAGGAGGAGATCTGGAAAACCAAATATTTTAGGTTTATGAGTTCACACTGACTTTTTTTGTGTAACATTTCACCTTGCTATATCCATTCATCTTTATTATGAGGTTTCTCCAGCTTCAAAGACTTTGTAGAAGAGCAACAAGGATGTTGCTCTGTAAACATAATATCAAGGCAAGGCAATTTAGAACAAGTAGATTTAAGAAGCAACTCTTCTAGACCAGTGATGGAGCCCTACTAGCACAAATGTCAAGCATCACCTGCAACATGGGAGTAAAATAAGAACAATGCAGTGTGTTTTCCAAATTTAATTTGATCCTTTTATCAGTTTTACTTTCCTATATGAAATTTTGGAATACCAGTATCAGAGTTTCAAGCATTTCTCTATTAAAAGTAATTTAAAAATTATTTTCAAATTGTGGGTGGATGTTTTAATTTTGAAAATTCAAAAGGGCCTGAACAAACCTCCTTGAAAAGATAATGTTTGCTTCTGGGTCTCAGGAATTTCTGAAACCAGGAACCAGGGGTCCTTCTGTCATGATGATTTTATTTTTTAAGTACATTTAGGCTGGTCTTGGCCACACAATGAAATCCATGGATCCTCTGTTGGCGGCACTTTGCATCTCGCAGTATTGATCACCAGACATATTTCTTGGTTTTGGAACATGGCTCTGGTCAAGACGTTGGGTAAAATACCCATCTTGGATCAAGAGTAGGGAGTTTGGCTCATAAAAGAACCTGGCAGCTAGGTGAATTGCAGTGGTTCCAATTAAAGGAAGAATGTGAAAACCATGGAATAGAAGCACACAAAATGTAAAATGCCTTTACTTGACATAATAAAAAAAAAGTGACCTCAATATACCTAGTATTCATTTATTCCCTTTGTTCCTTCCCTCCTTGCTTTCTCAATGTTATTGGTTGTATTGGTTTCCAAGGGCTTCTATAACAAAATACTAAGGGGCTTGAAGGACAGAAATTTACCTTCTAACAGTCCTGAAGGCTGTAGGTTCAAGGTCAAATTGTTTGCAGATTTGGTTTCTCTGGAAACTTTTCTTTTTGGTTTACAAATGGCCTGTCTTCTATCTGTGTCCTCACAGTATTGTCCTTCTGTCCTAATTTCTTCTTCTTACAAAAATACTAATCACATGGGATTAGAATCCACGTATGTGACCTCTTTTAACCTTAACTCCCTCCTTAAGAACCTCCTCCCCAAATATAGTCACATTTTAAGCTAGTTGGGATTAGGATTGAATATGAATTTTGAAGGTTCATAATTCAGTCCAATGAATTGAAAGTCCAAGTGTTAAATTATTTAGCCTGATTTAAATTTGAGTAAATTACTACTGTTTCACAGTAAAGTGTCTCTTTTGTTTAACTAATATATTCTTGACTATTAGATTAATAGTCTTTCATTTGGATAGTACTTCATAGACATTGATAATGGTGTCTTCACAAAATCACCCTTTTAAACATTCCTTTTCCACATTTAACTTATGATGTTTTTTTTTTTTTTTTTTTTTTTTGTACCTGGATTGAACCCAGAGGCAATTAACCTCTGAGTCACATCCCAGCCCTTTTTAATTTCTTTCTTTTTTTTCTGTATTTTATTTAGAGACAGGGTCTGGCTGAGTTGCTTAGGGTCTCACTAAATTGCTCAGACTGGCTTTGAACTCACAATCCTGCAGAGTCACTGGAATTACAGGCTGCACCATTGTGCCCAGCACTGTTGTTTTAATCTCCTATTTTGCTCTTTTTAGTGTGGCAGCTTATTTTTTGTTGCCTACACCATCCTTTGTTGTATATAGATGAGCTACTTGGGCTTTCTTGGGCTACTGAGCTTCCAATAAACAGTTGATTTTATTTATAGCTTAAAGTATTACTTACCTTTGTTAGGAAAAAGAAGCACTTAGATTTGAGAATATATATCACCTTTCAAACCATTTTGCTCTATTCATGGATCACACATGTTTCTAAAGTTTAATAATGTTTAATTCTATTTGTTAAAGTGATAGTGATTTATTTAAAAGTCCCAGTGTCCTTAGTTTAATTCCAAGAATTAAAGTGTTCAGTATCCATTTGACAATATCATTAGCCTTTCCTTAATGAATATTTACTTCTTTCAACGTAAATTATGGTAACATTCCCATCAATTGAGAAAGTAATCTGACATAGGCTATTTCTCTTGATGTTATACTTTTTCTACTTTTGTTATTTCATTCTTAGTCCACAAATGTAAGTTCTTATATTTCTTAATACACCCATCTATGTACATACACAAATATATAAATCAGGATTTTATTCCTCCCTCAAGAATTCCTTCTTGTATGCATCTCCAACCCCCTCAGAACTTCTCAACACTGTATACCCATCCAGTTGATTTTGCTATATGTCTTGAAAAAAATAGGAATTACATCTCATCTTTGTTGTGTTATTTTATAATTAATATCAATAATTATCTTTTAGTCTAATTTTTTAATTTAATTTAGTGCAAATGATTTGAATATGTTAACTGGATCCCTACTTCCATATATTGTCTAAATTAGTACTTCACAGTTGGTAGTCTATAAAACATTTGTTTAAAAGCAATATATATATATATATATATATATTTAATTTTTGATCAGCAAAGTCTTTTTCATATCTCTGGAGTTTGTTTAAAACTCCCTACTCTTGGTATATCTAATATTGTCAGTATATCTAATATATAGAAATATTTTCCTATATTGTGATAAGTTTGTCACCTGTTCATATGTGTTTTCATTGCATTATAATTTGAATGATATAAATTTTAACAGATATATATCAGTTAAAAACATAACTGGAGGGGTTGGGACTGTAGCTTAGTGATAAAGCATTTGCCTCGCATGTGTGAGGCACTAGGTTCAATCCTCAGCACCACATAATAATAAATAAAGATACTGCATGTTCATCTACAACTAAAAAAATAAAATAAAATAAATGGAAAATTGGTAATTTTTAAAATGATTTTTAATTTTTTATTGGACTGATAATTTTAGAGTCTCTAAGAGTTAAATATCTTTTGCGATGCAGTGGGTACTTCTCATTTCTGAGATTTTGAGTTCTTACCGCTTCATGGCTTCTGCATGTACATACTTCCTCCATTTCTCAGCATATCAGTTTATAATTATTGGTTTTCTTTTTCTTTTAGGATGTTTTAAATAACCTGGGATCCTGTGAATTAGATGAAGATGATCTAATGCTCGATTTAGAATTTTTAGAAGAACAGAATCTTCATCCTTCAGGTAAGTGTTGAACAAATACATAATATAAGTGACATTTGTCACTTAGATTACACTGATAAGCTAAATATTATTGAGACTGCATTCAGTCTTTTAAATCTCCCTTTATATTTTATATGCAAGGGAACTGTAAAATGTACTATGGGTTTATAATTTTTGAAGTTCATTATGGAAACCTTGATCTGGTTGGAAGAAATTTATAAAATAGGAAAGCAACTATAAAATAAGATTCTTGTCAAAGAAAAGAATTCCAATTGAATACTGAACAATGTAAAAAGTTAACATTTTCTACTTTAGGGTAAAAATATTAACTACAATCCCACTTTTCATTTATTTTATATATCCAAATGTAAGTTTTGTGGATCTAGATTTACTATTCCAAATTGTAGACATTGTTTTTTCCCCCATAACTACACAGATTAATGCTGATGTAGTAATATTTGGCTCAAAATTAATAATTCCAAATAGTGTCCACAAACACATACTCATAAACACATAAACACACATAGGGTTGTAGTATGTGAGTAATAAATCCATGTTGAATGAATTAAAGGGACGATTACGTTCATAAAAAATCAAATTTATATTAAAGCATAAAATATCATGTTTTCTATTTCCAAATTATTCCATGTAGCTTATAAGAATTAATTATTCAAATTTAGGTATTTGACAACAAAGGTAAACTTTTATATTCCTTTTTTATTTCTGATAATACCTTAAATATAGTCAATTTTAAAGTTCATGTGAAATATTATTAAATATGAGCTTTAAATTTTTGGATTCTACTGAATAAATTTAAGAAAAATCAAACTCTTGGATCATAACATCGTTATTTTTATCTAATGGGCATTAGACATAATCTCTACAGTAGTTTCTAACTATAACATTTTATGATGAACTTCTGTTTATGCAGTGTCTTTATGCCACAGATGATAATCATATTAACTATTTCCAAAATATGTTAATAGTGATACTTACATTTTTTTTACACTGTATGTTAGGCTAAAATCTGAAATGAAGTTGTTTGTAAAATTTTTTATTGAAAATATTTTAAGATACAAATTTTTCACAATTTTATTCTTGCAGTTGATTTGATAGATAACCTTTTATATATGTAGATCTTTCTCACTTTTACCTAGATAGCTTCTAAAATTTGGGATTCATATGTATTTGTCTCAAGAATTGTACTTTTTAAAAATATCTAGTTTGCATTTACCTTTAGATTCAACTATGCAGTTTCTATATTTGTGATCCTATGATACTGAGAAAATACAGAATATGTGCTTATGCATTAAAATACTTGTGATAGCAAATATTAGGACACCTCAAATTTTCATCAATAGAACACTTACTAAATATACAATATTATACTTAAGAGTCATTAAAAGGAATGAGAGGTGTCCATCCTGCTATTGCATTATAAGAATGATTCTTGATGTTGAGCTTTATGATGATGGAATAAATTGTCAATGTGTATATTATTCAATCCCCTAAACATCACTTAAGTGTAATAAATAGATATTTTCTTCCTCTTGGTGTTTTGCTGAATCTTCATTCCCAATCCCATAACTACTAAAGTCTCCAAGAAAATGAGTGAGGATTTTTCTGACAATATGACAACAGATCAGAAACAAATCTCATAATTTTAAAGGTATTTAATTTTTTGTAAAGAACAAGAATATAACTGAATTTTGTTAATTTGGGATTTTTAGTCCTTTTTTTTTCCTGAAATTGGTAATTGAACCAATGGACATCTTACCACTGAGCTACATCCCCAGCCCTTTTTATTTTTTTTATTTTGAGATGCAGTCTTGCTGAGTTCTTTGGGACCTCACTAATTTCCTGAGGTTGACCTCAAACTTTTGATTCTTTTGCATCAGCCTCCCTAGTCACAGGCATGTACTATCATGCCCAGTTAATTTGGGATTTAAAAAAATTTAGATGGAACCATGATTTTTAGGAAGTAATGGGATGAGTGGACAGAAATTGTTAAATGTCAGAAGATTGTCAATAGGTAACCAAGGAATTCTATAGGATAAATAGTGTGATTTATTTGACAGATAACTGACCTGATGATAGGGGAGGGAAGACAGCCATATATTTAAAAAAGCTAAATGCAGTGGAACTTCCTTGTTGGTATACTCATTTTAAAATATATTCAAAGAATATATTTTAATCTGACTTATAAATTACACATATATACATGTATTAGGACAGCATAGGGTGCTCTATAAATATGTAATTTTTTTATGTTTTTATGTATCACTTAAGTTACAATAGCAAAAAATATTTTAAAATTCTGAGTTAATCAGAAGTTTTAGATTTGAGTGAGTTATAGGATTATATTTTATTTTGTTAATTTATACAGTAAGTTATAGTTTATTTGTTGTAATGATATTTTGTTTAGGTTTATTAAGGAAAACTTGAGAGTTGTAGTAGTTGAAACAATATGGTGTCTGGGATTTGCTTTACCACCAAGTGTGGGCAAAAGAATAGAAGAAACTAAGTTAAGAAATTGTTGAAAACGATCAAAATTGGGTAATGGGTGCATGGAAGTAGGAGGAACTCATAGAGTTAGAGTTTCATGAAATAAAATATTCTATTTTGTGTGTTTTTGAAGATTTTCATAAACAATTAAAATAATTGAAAAAAGTACCAATAATATAACAATTTCAGTTATATTTGGTTGCCAGTCAGAATGAAGCCCAAAGAATGATTTGCAAATCTGAAGTCTTAACTAAATGTATGTGCTTTGGGACAAAACTTAACCTCTTTAAATTTTGAATTTCCTTTACAAAAACTAATAATAATGCTATGTAGTTTGTTCACGTACTTTAAAGAATAAAAGTGGCATAAGAAATTCTATTAATTTCCTGAGTCAATTTCAAGGTATGGGTTGCTTGTTTGAAAGCTTAATAGAATGTGTAATGTTAACCAATGAATCCTCTGAAATTAACTGGGTAAAATGAAATCCTTGGACAACTGAATAAGATGACTTTTCTGCAAATGAATGTTATCAAAAATATGGTAAAATATCAAACAATGCATATCCTAAATATGAATTTAGGTTTTGGTTTTGGAATACTTAATCTTTCAATATCTGTTACACAGTGAGCTAGAATATGATCATATTTCTATATAGGCTTTTCCCACTATTACCTTCATAGTGGTATAAGCTGATGGTAAATATACATTTTGATAATACGCCAGTGAAGCATCATAATTGATCAAATGAGTTAAAAGGAAAGATGGAACAAATTTTTCTAAAAAAATAATGTCTCTCTATTCTTACCTTGGCTCCCTTTACTGCCAGGGGTAGATTGTATATAAACATGAGCATTCAGTAGTTTGTGATCCAAATGGATGGGAATTCATTGGTGGTTATTAAGGGATGGGGGTAAGGGAAATGGGGAGGTGTTGATCCAAGGACACAAACATTCAGTTATTAAATTGACAAGTTCTGGGCATCTAACATACACTATGGGTGATGGTGGGTATGTTAATTAATTTGATTGTTACAATCATTGCATAATATGTATGTATATAATTCTTATTGTATATTCTCAACATATTCAATCTTTGTCATTTAAGTATTTTAAAATTAAAAAAAAATAAGCTGATGGTCAGAGTGAACAAATTGTGCTATATCTATATGATAATATAATGATATAACTTGCATAGGAAAAAAAAAGAAGTTTTGACACATACAACAACATGGACAAACTGCAAAATAATCACGCTACATGAACAGAGCCAGACCAAAAGTGTAAATTCTGTGAGATTCCTTTTGTAGAAAAATTTAAAAATGAAAACTAAACTCCAGTGACAGAAAGCAAAGCAGTGGTTGCTAGGATTGCAAAGGAGGGCATGAAGAGACTACAAATGGACAACATAATGAGTAAATGTGAGAGTATTGACTATGCTGTTTATCTTTATTCTGTATACTTGTGTCAAAATTTATCAAATGGTGTGCCTTAAATATATATGGTGTATTTGCATAGCCATTAAATCTTGATAAGCATGTTTAGAAAAAAGGAAAAAAAATAAGTCAATGGGAAGGAAATTGAATGCCTGTAATGAGCCAGGATCTTTTCCTAGATGATTTCAAGTTAATCTCATAACACTTAGGGAAAATTGTACCTCCAATATCCATTCCAAATAAACAAACTGAAAGTTAATATCAAAAGACTGGAGGCACTTTGGAGTCTGATATATCCAAATTAAAATTTCAGTTATACCATGGTGACCTTGGAAGGTGATCTTTCCAAGTGTCTTTTTCCTCATTTCTAAAATGGCAACAATTACTTATCTGTCTCAAATCATCCTAACTGAAATTGTGACACAGACACATTTACATGCAAAGTGACTTTCCCAGTTACTTAGAATACAGTAGGAACTCACCATGAGTTGGCTATGTCCCATGAAATTTTTGACAGTTTTAATACCTTGTTAAAGAGTGTCTTGCCATTAGTTAAATGGTCCTTAGTTTCTGAATACTTAATCATTATTATAGATTATTTAAAATATATTTTGATTTAGATTTCACTGTGTAAATTCTGTCTATCATTTTAAATGGTGATTTACCAGTATTAAATATTCAATAATTAATTAAGATACTTTGCTTATAATAGGTAGTATATTTCTTTTTTGTTAAAATCCATGCAATTCTAAAAGCGCAAAACTATATTTTCCCAGATATTAGTCAAATATCCAAATTACTACAACATATTTGAAATAATAATATCCCTGAGAAAGAATAAGTTTCTGTTTTAAATACCTTAAAAAGTTACTACTCCAAATCATTATTTTCAAAGGGAAACTGAGGTGTTTCTATGCATTAAATTTGATCTTTACCATTTGCAGATGATTTACTTATTTGAAAATATATTTCACTTATTTAGTGTTCTTTGGGGAAAAGAATGTATGGTCATTTGGATGATAGAGTGAGGAAATCTTACATTGTTTTTGTTGTTTATTTTGGATATTGCATCTAAAAACACCTA